CGCTCGAGTGGGTATTCTTGCGCTCGAGCGGGTCCAGTTTTTGTGCTTGACGCTCGAGCGTCCTATTCTCCGCTCGAGCGGACTAGTCGTATATCAGATGGCAGCTAGGTGATTTTAAATCACTTTTTCACACTTTCTTTCTCTCTCTTACTTTTTCAAAACCTCCATTGGAGAGCACCTCACTCTAAAACTCTAACTTCTCTCTAGGGTTTGATCTAGTAGGAACGATCTTCTATCCTTGGGCCTTTGTAAAAAGTGTGGAGCTTGTGGAGGGCTACATTTTGATCCGAAAACATTGGGGTTTGGAGCATCTCGAATTTCTTCATCTTCTTCCTTTGAGCTCCGAATTTGAGGTAGGGATAACTACTCATTTTTATGAGCTTTAACCTAAATGTTGAGTGTTTTGTATAAATGGTTTGATTTGGGAAGTTAGGGTTTGAGATGTGTTATATTGGAAAGAGGGGTTTTGTTCTTTTGATTCAAACATATGTGTTTTGGGTCGAAAAAAGAGGTTATTGATGTTGTTGATAATATTTGGACCTTTGGGCCAATGTTGAGAAAATGGAAAAAATGCCATGTTTGGGTCATTAGTGTAATTAATGACATTTATTATGGGTACATGAAATTGAGTGGAAATAATGAAATTGACTCATTATAAGGTAGAATGGTGGAGTTGGATTCATTAATCACTCACCTTTGAAAATGTTGATAAATTATCTGTTGATATAATTATTGTCTGTTTAGAAATAATTGCTTTGGGCTATCGGTGGAGGATAGTATTAATTGTTATAGACATTGCATGATGATTAGGCGAATTAAAACTAATCGGTTGTATGCCATGGATTATGATGAATGGAATAATACATCAAATTTGTGTATTGATTGAACATGTATATGAAAGATGCTTATATACATTGTGTTGTGTGGGAGGAGATAGGGGATGTACTCCACGGTTTAGGAGAAGATAGGGGATGAACTCCTAAATCAGATATTGTTTGGGAGGAGATAGAGGATGTACTCCATTGATACATCAAATATATGTATCTATTGAAGTATTGATACAGCGAATATGTGTATCTGTTGTGAAGTTTGGAAGTGTTTTATGTAATATTGACAGAGCAAATATGTGTATCTATTGTGATGTATGGAAGTATGTTGATATGAGATGTAATCTCACCCAAATTGTTTGGCCAGGTTCTGAGCCACGGTTATGAATTGAGAATCGGTTAAGCAAAGGAAAGAGAAATGAAACATAGACATACGTGTCATGTAATTAAAATGAATTATGATTTGATTTATGTGAGTTAAACATTTATCAAATGCTAATATTTTAGTTATTGCTCATATTATGTTTAGCATATCTCTACTGGGCGTTGGGTCACCCTATATGGGACATCATTTTTAGGTACAGGTGTTATGCCACCTCCAAAGACGTAGCTTAGGAGGCTTGAGGCTGTTAGACCCTTTTTATTGTTTTTGTTGTATTACATGTATATCAAGCTAATGGCTTATTTTGTGTAGAGTTAGTACTCTCCTTTTGTAACCAAGTGTTGACTTGGAAAGTTGTAAGCTTATAGGGCATTTACTTTTGTTGTCAACATGTAATACCTTTTGTAAGAATACTCTGATAATTGTAATATGAAATCTCTTTTTTTTATCGTGAATGTATGATATTATGGGTTTATTTCGAGGGCGTTACAGGTGGCTTGTACAAATTATAGAGGTGGCTTCCACAATAGTGCAGCACTTATCTCCGCACAACACTTTGCTCCACACCAGAAATCAGAGGGTCAATGGATCCATGACAGACAGAAGGCCACAGGGTGACCAAACAGAAGCCAATGGTTATTTAAGTCCCCCAAGACGAGTGACTCCCGTGGTGGTATTTTCAAAAGATAATTGTTCATAAGGTCATAGTCAAATATTCTTTAAAAGTTAAACAAACATATCCATGAGTTTCATTTTAAACAAATAGAGTTCAGAAATTAATTCACGTAACTGAAATATTTATAAAACATAACTTATATTAATATAACTAATAAAATATAATTTGTATAAAATAAATTATGGTAAGTCAAAACATACATAAAATATATTATGGTAACTAACGGTATAATATAACTCACCTTAAAAGTAGTACCTTACTCTTTCTTTCCAATACCAAAGATTCTTCTGACTTCCATTATTTTCTTTCCCTTTTCTTCGCTTCCTTTTTCCTCATTCCTTTCCCTTTCTCCCTCTCTTTTTTTTTTCTTTTTATTTCCTTTATTTCTTTATTTCTTTCTTTCTTTGTTTTCCACAGATCACCTCCTCCCTATTTATAAAGACAACAATGCTAGGACCCCCCAGCACCCCCCACCTCCACGTGGGGGGTTGTGAGCAAGCCTATAAAAAAAAAAAAAAAATTTGAGCCCATCAAAAAAAAAGTGGGGGTGGAGGGAGTCTGGGGCATTTTCCTTATAAGGAGGTAAGAGCATCTCCAATGGATGGCTAAATCATCTACCAAAGCCATAATATGGCAGCTTGAGCCAAAAACAGCTTCTCCAATGGCATGCTATAACAGCTGCCAAATTTGGCAATTGCCAAATCAAGTGCCAAATTTGGCAACTACTTTGGCAGCTGCCAAATCTGCCAAGTCACCCAAAATTAACTGTTTTCTCTCTTCCCTCCTTCCCTCCTTCCCTTTCGGTTGGGATTTTCCAGATTCATCAATATTCACTAAGTTTTATTCATCAATATTCATCAAATTCATCAATATTCAACAAGAATGAACAAGAATTCATCAATATTCCAGAATTCATCAATATTCAGAAAATTCATCAAATTCATACCAAAAACAGATTTAAAAAGATTTCATCAAATTCATCAAATTCATACTAGAATTCATCATGTATATATATAAATATATACGAATTGCAGCAGGTTGGAAATGGTGAGAGCAGCGTAGAAGCATTCGGAGACAGAGCAGCGTAGAAGGAGCAAGATTAATGAGAGGTAATCTGAAATAATCCAAGAAAAATACCTGATCTGAGGGTTGAAGTTCACTGATCCGAAAAAAATCTTCACTGATCCGAGGGTTGAAAAGGGTTGGAAGTTCATCTTCATTGATCTAAAGCTGATCCGAAGTTCATTTGAAGGTCTCTCCCTCTAATCTTCACACATCCAAAGCTCTGATCTTCCCTCTGACCTTCCCTCTTCCCTCTGATCTTCACTTATCCGAAGCTCTCTCTCTCTCTCTCTCAAGTTTCAAAGCTCTTAAGTTTCGAAGCTCTCTCTCTCTCAAGAGTGAATCTGGAAACTTTCTTAAAGTTTATTGAACTTGGGTTACTTTATTCATGAGTGGGTTATTTTATTCATTAAAAAAAATAAAAATTAAATAAAAACATAATTGAAACATATATCTACAACGGCTATAAAAAAAAGGGATGAATACAAACCGGTTATAAAAACGGCTATAAAAGAAAACGGCTCTTTTTTTTTTTTTTTTTTTTTTTTTTTTTTTTTTTTTTTTGTGTACAATTACTTTTCCAATAATTCTCATAATAAACTTTTTGAATTCCTTTTTTTTTTCTATAAATACAAACATTTTGTGCTCTCTTTTTACTCAATTTCATTTCACAACAAATTTCCTAAATTACATTTTTATTTTTATTTATATTTTCTTTACACAATCGGTATGGAAGGTTCATCAAAAATAAAGAGAGGAAAATTATTCACCATTGCTGAAGATATAGCACTTCGTAAAGCTTGGCGTCACATTTCTGAAGATCCAATTGTTGGTAATTCACAATCTTATACTCACTTTTGGGGGAGAATTTATGAAAATTATTGCTCCAATCAGAATGATCAGTCAAGAACAAAAGTTTCTATCCAATCTCGATCGGGGTACAATCATGAAATGTTCTAACAAATTTCGTGGATGTATAGCACAAGTCGAAAATCTACACCCAAGTGGGATGCCTCAAGTTGATTTAGTAAGATTTCATATTCATTTATTACGTTAGTTTTTATTTTATTTTATTTCGTCTCATATAAAAATTAAATAATTACTTAATTCAATATTGATACATATTTTATTTTATCTAGTAAGATCTCATATTTTATTTTATTTTATTGATACTTACTTAATTCAATATTGATACAGATGCTTCAAGCAAAACTTTTATACCATCAAGATGAAAAGAAACATTTTGCTTTTGAACATTGTTGGTCAATCTTGCAAAACAATATCAGGTGGCAAGATGTAACTCCTACAAACACAGTGAAGTCAAGGATACATATACCATTTTTCCCTAATTTAGTCCCCGAATCTCCTGTGGATAACTGCATTTCTCTTGAAGATGATAACAGTCCAAGTGTTGGTAACAATCCAATTGTTGGTAATAATCCAATTGGTAAGGGTAGTGTCTTTACAAGGGGTAAAAGGCCTATGGGTAGGAAATTGCAAAAGAATTGTTTCGAAAAAGTCAAGCTGTTGAAGCTGAAGTCCACAAATTTAACAATTTGTTGGAAACATTTAACTAACACCTTACTAAGAAGGAAATGAAAAAAAAAAATTGAAAGAGAAGAAAAAGGGCTCAAGTATTGCAAGAGATGAAAGAACTTGAGATTACATTTGTAGAAGATGAAAGAACTTAAGATAAAAAAGGAAGAACATTTGATAATGATTAGGGACATTTCTCATTTGAACCCTTAGAAGAAAGCGTATTACATATTGCGCAAAAATGATATTTTTTCCAAGTGGTCCGCATATGTTAACAATCCAAATTATTATGTTTCCCTGCCTTTTGATGAATAATTATGGGAGAATGTATTTTTTTTAATTTTGCAATATCATTTATTTGTCAATGTAATTTTTATTATTTCTTCTTAAATATAATTTTTATTTTGCAATGATTGTAAAATAAAAAGACATTAAATGAAGAACATTTTATTCGAATAAAAAGACATTAACTGACATTAAATGACATTAATTGTCATTAAAAAGATAAAATGCAAACTTAATCTAACTCTCCAGCTCGGGACCACAAGTGTTCAATTAGATCATTACGAATTACATTATGGGTTTCAACAGATCTAATCCTTTTCCGATTCAACATAAATTGAGCATACTCCTCATTCGGATCGCGTGACACTTGACAGCCCAAATTACTCGTATCAGTCTCAAGTTGTGCTGCACTGCGTTCATTTTCTGGAATATCACGCTCGTCTTCAATGATCATGTTGTGCAAAATAATGCATGTCTTCATGATGTAGTACAAATCCTTATCACTCCAATCTCTAGCTGGCACGCTGACAATATCAAATCGTGCTTGGAGCACTCCAAATGCCCTTTCGACATCTTTCCGACATGCCTCTTGCATCCTTGCAAATAGCTGTCTCTTTGCGCCTTGAGGTTGAGATATTGTTTTCATAATCGTTGCCCAATGATGATAGATACCATCAGCAAGATGATACCCCATGGTGTATGCGTGATTATTGGTGGTGAAGTTGGCAGCAGGGGCACGTCCTCTAGTTAATTCAGCAAATAAAGGCGACCTGTCAAGAACAGTAATATCATTTAGAGAGCCAGGCATGCCAAAGAAAGCATGCCAAATCCATAAGTCATAGGAGGCAACTGTCTCGAGTACAACTGTTGGTTTGTGATAGTGTCCAGTGTAAGCACCGACTTGGGCACTTGGACATTTATTCCAACGCCAGTGCATACAATCCAAACTCCCTAACATTCTAGAAAACCCGCGTTGCTCTCCCTTTTGCAATAATTTGCCGACATCTGCTTCATTTGGAGATCTTAAGTAAACAGCTTCATAGGTAGCAACAATTGATCTGGTAAAAAAATTTAAGGCAGCAATTGCAGTACTTTTGCCGATTCTAATGTACTCGTCTACAGCATCAGCAGGCACGCCGTATTGGAGGATCCGAAGTGCTGCAGTCATCTTCTGTACACCGGATAATCCAAGAGCACCAGTAGCATCACGAGTTTGGATGAAGTACGCATTCACTTGTTGAATATCGTGTAAGATACTAACAAACAATGACCGCCTCATTCGAAAACGTCTTCGGAAGTACTCTTCTGGATAGATAGGATTATCTGCAAAATAATCTCTATAAATCTGTTCGTCGCCTTTGACCCTCTCACGATTAATGTATCGACGACCACTTGTGGAACCAACACGTCTGGTTTGTTGGTTTAGGCTTAACATCTGTAATCTTTGTTGTTGCGCTGTGAATAGTTGCATCATGATGATATCATCATCAGATGATGAAGATTCATCAAAATCTCCATTTAATATGGCTTTACTCAAATTGTTCATTGTAGGTAGATGGATGAGTGGGTGAATATGAAAATTGTAGAAAATCTTCTTGGTGGGTACAGAGAGTTTTGAAGATATGAAAATGATAGGTAGGTGAATATGAAAATTATAGAAAACCTTATGTTATATTTATAGAGAAAATTGTGGGTGAGTGAACGATGGATGGTTGTTGGGTGGGTGGATGAATAATGAGTGGTTGTTAGGTGGGTAGATGAATAATGGATGGTTTTTGGGTGGGTGGATAAATAATGGGTGGTTGTTGGGTGAGTGAATGAATAATAGATGGTTGTTGGGTGGGTGAATGAATAATGAGTGATTATTGGGTGAGTGGATGAATAATGGATGGTTGTTGGGTGGGTGGATGTGAGTGAATGAATGCTGGGTTAATAATAGATGGTTGTTGGTGGTTGGTTGTTGATGGGTAATTGGTAATTGTTTATTTTTTATGTGTAGTTAAAAAAATTTATTAAATATGTAGTGATATGTTTTTTGGTGGGGTGAATTAATCAAACAAAATTTTTTTCCCAATTTTTCATTTTTTTTTTATTTTTTATATTTGTCTAGTTGGAAATAATATAAATATATAATTTTTTAATAAACAGATAAAAAATGTCACAAAAGACAAAAAATAAATAAAAATAAAATCACAAAAAACTTATATCCAAACAACACCTACAAAGTTGGAGGGATAGTTGGTTGAGATGTGCCAAAAATAGCAAATGACCATTGGAGCACCATTGCTATAATTGCATATAAATGAAGGAAGATGGATTACGAAATCAAAAGTAGATAACTGAAGATAACTGGATTGCACTTTACATAAAATAAAACATTAAAATTACAATTTTAAATTGAAATTAAGATTCAAACATTTAAATTAAAATTCAAACATTTAACTTCAACATTAAAACATTGATTAACTTACAATTGTAGTAGCAACTGTAAGGATCTTTAATTGGGTACAACAGGGAAGCTTGTAAGGCTCTCAAAACACTCTGGTTTTCTTACAACAACGATGGAGAAGAAAATTTTCGAATGCCTGAATGCTTACAATTGATTACAATATAAAGGAATAAAAGTACAACAGTGAGCATGTGACTTCTGAAAGCAGATGGCAGATCATGCAGCAAAGGAGATGCTGTCGGATGCTTTCGGTGGAGTGATTGCACAGCTGAGCAGCCTTTAGCAAAAGTTGATTGGGTGAATAGTGACGGTGAACAGTAAAAGTGAACAGTAACTTTTACTATTCACTACTTTAGGTGGAACATGTGAATAAAGGAATCAATATAAATATAAATTAGCAGCTTTTCTCAAAAGAGTATTGATTGAAGCTAATTTGTATTTATAGGGAATCCTATGTTGATTAGGCAAATGGGTCCTGAGCATCTTGAAACTCGGGACCTGAATACTGATTAGTTGATTCTTCAGAAGAATGTAAGCTGACGGAACCTTCTTCTGACTGGTCTGAATGGTCTGAACTCGAAGCAGATTGGGCTTCAGCTTGATCTGTAATTTGTCTTGCTAATTGGAGCAGTTCATCTCTGGATAACTTGGGCTTGACCTTTGATTTAGCTTTGGGTTGAGCAGGAGGTGAAATGGGCTTAGCCTTTGCTTTGGATTTTGATTTGGATTTGGACTGATCTTTGGGCTGGGCCGGAGCTGGAGAAGCTTTGGACTTAGCCTTTGATTTTGAATGTGTTGACTGAACTGGTTTGGATTTGGGCTTGGAACCACTGGATGAGGGGCTTCCAAGATTGATTGGAGGAAGGCTGGGCTGCACATTTCAAGTAATTCATGATTCATTTGAATAGGTCGGGATTTAGTAGGAATTTGTGATTCATTGAAATTCTTAATATAGGGTAAAGTAACGACATGTTTTTTCCTATGCCAGAAAGCAGTAGGTAAAGTAGAACAAACGGTTGATTCAAGTTTTAATTGAAAATCATGGATTTGGGAAATAAGAATTGGATCAGTCAATTGTTGGTCAATACGTGTATGATGTACTTCTTCTTTAAGAAATTTTAAATGCCGAGTCAGGCGACTGATTTGGTGAGAAATGGAACAGTCTTTTAATTGATTTAAATGTAATAATTCAGGAGGAGATAGAAATTTAAATGTAACGGGTTGTCCCAAAACATGTGTAGTGATTCTTGTACTAGATGTAGTAAAAGGATATAATAAATAGATAAATGGAGAACCTAAAATAATTTTATCAGTCATGTTGGTAACTAGAACAAAAGAGGTTTTAAAACATACATTATCTTGGCAAACATGTACTTTTGGTAATTTATATTTGATATGCATTTGAGTACCATTAGCAGAAGTTAATTTTTCTTGACATTTTTCATAATATGTAGTAGGAAGTAAACCTTCTTGTATACAATTTAAATCAGCACCAGTATCGATTAAAGCAATTAATTCTAATTCAAAGTCATTAACAATTATTTTGATTGTAGAATACCACTTTTGAATGTAAAGTTTATTGATTAGACTTAATCGTTTTTCTTCAGGATTGTTAGATTGAGAATGGTGTGATCGGTTATCAAATATTAAGTTATCCGGATTAGGATCAGATTCATGTTCAGATTCATGTGGGGATTCGTGTTCATTAGTTTGGAAATTATCTAAACTTTTATCAAGTTTTAAAGTAATAATTTCATCTTCAAGTGTTTTGTCTTTACTTTGCAAGTGTTTTGTCTTTACTTTGCATTACTTTGCAAAATAATACTATTTATTGCCAAATTATAGCAATAGCAACCCCAATATAGCAACAACCATTAGAGATACTCTAAGAGCATACGTGGCCCGTATATCCTTCCACAGATTCGTCCATAAATTATATGGATTGATGCTTATCTTTAATAAATATTTAGGATAATTACACTTTGGCCCAGTTTTTTAATATAACTATATAAATAAATTAATCCCTAATTAAATTATACTCTATTGTATACCAACAGAAAATTAATTATTTATTTTACTACCACACCCTTTATTATTATTATTATTTACTCTTACTTTTATATTTATTTATTTACTATCTTTAACTTTAATTTAGCCCAATTAGTATTATAATTTCATATTTCTGTTAATTTGACCCCAAATAATAATTCATAATTAATTTCATATTTGATAATCCAATGCCAAATTAGATTATATATTTATTATTATTTATTTAATAATATATTATAACATACAACCATAATACTAGTATACAATTTAAGGGACAACTTAAATTTTCGGGTTATTACAATCTTCTTTCCTTTTAAAAATTTCATCCTCGAAATTTGTCATAGGTGTAAGCTATCCATTGCGTACTCTGATAAATATATATTAGATGATTAATCTGATGTAAAATATTACCTCAAATTTTTTTTTACCAAAAACAACTCACTGTTTATTTGTCAAAAATTATTTTGGATAAAAATGAGAAACAATCGGTGACTTTAAAAACTTTTCATTAGTTTTGTAATAAAACAAAATAAAATAAGAACACAATTAAACAAGCGACTGGAAATGAAATGACAGAATCACATGCAAAAGTTGAAGGAATTTGAGATAAACTTCAGTTTCTTTTATCCGTGAATTGTTTCAAAATTAGTATTTTTAAAATTTGAACCCACTTTTAAAAAGTCGAAATGAATTTTTTTTTTTGAATACCGAACTGGAAATTATATATATTTAATTATATTATAATTTTGGTGGGTGGTTGAGCCCGACACCCTCTATTTATAAAAAATATAAATTATATCTAATATCCTTCACAAATTATGCACAAAAAAAAAATATATATATATAAAATCATATAAAATTATAATATAATTATATCGACTAACAAAATATAATATTTAGGTATTAATTACCCGCTATCATACTTCTTAAATATGCGTGTGTCCTATACTCCAATGATGATTTTTTATTTATTTATTTATTTTTGTAAACCATTGCTCTGATATCACTTGTCACGACTCGCTCTCTATACTCAAGGGTTAAATATCGTGATGGTTAGTAACTGAAGTTACTTCTGGCCAATTCTTAAACAAATTAATAAATGCGAGCGGAAATAATATTTAAGTGAGGGTACCAAAATAATCATTGGAGTTTTTATTTTTATTACAAAATTTGTTTACCAAAAGGCCGATATTTACATATAAAAATATCATAAAAGTGTTGTGTGTGTCTATTCCGCAGCCCCGCGTCTAAGACTTTCCAAAAACTATTTATGAATTGCATTATTTCCTGAAAATTGGTAAACCACTAGAAGCACATGATAGAGTGAGAAATATTATAAATTAATAAACACGAGCGGAAGTAATATTCAAGTGAGGGTACCAAAATAATCATTGGAGCTTCTATTTTTATTACAAAATTTGTTGATCAAAAGGCCGATATTTATATATAAAACTATCATAAAAGTGCTGTGTGTGTCTATTCTGCAGCCCCACATCTAAGACTTCCCAAAAATTATTTATGAATTGCATTATTTCCTGAAAATTGGTAAACCACTAGAAGCACATGGTAGAGTGAGAAACATTATACCAAGAGTATAAGGGATACAAAATAACCATGGATAGTTATGTAACTAAAATATTTAAGATAGCTTAGTCTGAATAAATAATCCTTTAAGTAGCAAAACTGAGATTATGTAAATAAATAACCATAACTACGGTACCGAACAGAACAGAACAGAGGTCACACGAGTGACAGTCAGAACAAATGTACGGATTTAAGAGGTGACTTGTACGGATTATAGAGGTGATTCCCACAATAGTGTAACACTTATCTCCGCATAGCACTTTACTCCACACTAGAAATCAGAGGGTCAATGGATCCATGATCAAACAGAGATCAATGGTTATTTAAGTCTCTCAAGGCGTGAGACTCCCGTGGTGGTACTTACAAAACATAATTGTTTACATGGTCATAGTCAAATATTCTTTAAATGTTAAACAAACATATCTATGAGTTTTATTTTAAACAAATAGAGTTCAGAAATTAAT